TCTCTCTCTCTCTCTCTCTCTCTCTCTCTATATATATATATATATATATATATATATATATATAGAATGTTTAAAACCATGCTCTCTCTCCAGGGATGGCGCTGTGAGAACTGTCGTCGTCCTGGTCCTGGTGCTGACGTTGACGTGGACCTCATTCAGCCTCTAGTGCGCACTGATGCTTACGACCGCTACAGAGAGAACGCCCTACGCAAACTGGTGAGTCTTTTATAGATGTGACAGACAAAGGCTTGGAAAAATAGAAGAATCAGATAAATCTCTGATGAAGGTCAGATTTTAATATGATTATAGCGGATATTGTGTAGTATCATGTACTATACACATTCAAAAGAGTCGGTAAGATTTTTAATGTTTTTAAAATGTGTCTTATGCTCATCAAGGCTGCCCTTTCTATAGAAAAAACAATAAAACTGTAATATTGTAAAATGTTGTTTCAATTTAAAATGTTTGAATGTATTTAAGTGTGTTTGTATTGGACATATTCAATGAACCTGTTGCATTCACAGAAGCATTCTCAACCACATCTGATTGTCTTTAACGGAAACATGTGATTACTTAAGCCACCATTAAAATGTGCATTGATCAAATATTTCTTTACAAGGTTTCAGGGAGTGATTAAACACCGCATTTAGACTCATTTTCATTTGTTTGAAATCACGTCTAACATTCGTTCTGAATTCATTTGACTTCTATTATAGAAATCTATAATCTTGGGCTGTAAGGAGGGATCTGCAGGTTCACTGAATTTTAAGTGTTGTTTGAAGCCACCGAGCGTTTGTGATACTTGAAAAGCTTGTAAAAGAAGTGAAATGATCATTTCCATTGTGTTGTTGGAGATTACATCTCTCCATCGCCAATACTCTCATCCATCTCTAGGAGCGTGATTGATTAGTCTGCATATCCCAGCTTGTCCATCAATTAATTTACATGCCATTTGTGTGTATGACCAACACATCTCTATTAATCTTTCCTAGCGCTCTCAATGTTTTCCTGAACTCTTGCGTTCAAGTATGGAAGTGATCAATGGCCCATGGTTTTGTGTAAAAACTGTTGAGATTTATGAGTCTGCAGTGGTCGAAGTGATGAATGCTCCGGCTCTGCTCTATGCGCACGCTTTTGTTGGTCCATGTGATTGGTACATAAATGATTCTAATCAATATTAGCTCTAAAAAGAACCGAATGGTTAGTAGAAGCTGGTGTGTTGAGTGTGTCTCTGTTAGTGTGATTTAACCATCTGATGCATACAGCATGCAGAAAGCCATTTTGAACCATTTAAGGTATGATGGGTGATGATGATCTTTTATCCTTTCTTATAATCCTATATGACTGACTTCTTTATATGTCATTCTGCTTTTAATTTATGACAACATAAATTTTAAATGGTTGACAGAAGTGGTGACAAACCAACTACCTCTGGATTATTTAACTCTTTTGCACTGGACATATGTGACATAATATTAATGATTAATTAATATATTTATTATATTATTATTATTTGAAAAACATGATAACATTATATCAAAACAAAATATTTGTTCCTTTATTATTCAATAATTAACGCTTCAGGGGGTTGTTTGCCAAACAGAAGTGTGCTACATCATATTGAATGAGCAGTTTAAGTCTACTTCATCTTCAAAGTATTTTTTAAAAAACTGTACTTGCAGATGATACAATGAAATAAAAGACGGCCTAAGTGTACTTTCATGTTTCTTAACACACTTAAGTACACTTATAAAAAAGTGCACTTTGTAATAGTAATTTTTACTAAAATGTACATTTTAAATCATTGTTTTAATAATCTTTTTTGTGCTTTGGAACTTAATTACACTTATTTTTATTGACTAACGTACTAAAGCACATGTACAGTCCTTAATTATAATTTTAACTGCAGTGTTTGATAGTTAATATTTTCAACTTCATAATTACAAATAAAATGTAATACATGACATAGAAGTTTCAATAGAAAGGACATTAAAATATGTTATTATACCATACATGCTTGTCATTTCAAAAACAATATAAGTAATGTTTAGATGTAAAAATGTAAATAAAAATGTACTAACGTGGTTCATGTAAGTATGTCATGTAAGTCCTACTTACATGGCTCAAAAAAGCCCTCTGAAGTTCAGCTAATTGAATTAAATATAAATATGTGTCCAAAAACATTACTTTCAGTTTGCACTTAAGTATATTCTTTTAAAGTATACAATTCCTGTAAAAAAGTACTCTTTTTAAAAGAAAAATGTATTTCTTATTCACAAGCGGTTACATGTCCAACAGCTTTTTTCATTTGTCAATGTGCATATTATTAGTTTGTTCAGTTGTGATTCACTTTTGTTTATTTCCTGGAATTGTGTTATCAGTGCAGTACATTACAATGGCTGAGGATCGGCAGTGTCCGGAGCATCTAGAACTTCTGGCCTTGTTCCTCGATTCTGTGTGAAAGTTCAGAATGCCACCTGGTCTTAAAGGATGTTCATTCTCTCAATGATAAAAAGGGTTACATGGTCTGTGATGGGAGCTGGTCTCTGTACATCAATATGACAACAACACTGGTGTCTCAGAGACGCAACTGAGGTTGTAGACCCCCCTATACCCCCTTGCGTCTGACTGTAACAGGTCTTGATAGATTACTCACACGACTCTTTGCCTGCTGGCCTGTTATTCGAGCCCTGTGAGGCGGTCTCGCCCTCTGGCTGGTGATTTACTGCCTTGTGTCTCTGTAAATCAATCTGTGGCGAGTCCGTGGGCCTTTCTCTCTACCCTGCCGTGACGCACTGAGCTACTTAATGTCAGATGCTCTATGATGTATGGAGGGCCAAATATTTGATTTGGCAAAGCTCTCAGTAGAAGGAAATTCCTCCACTGTCTTTGGTAGGAGTTTAACAAATTGGTTATTATTCTGTGTAGTTGATCAAAGAAGGATAGTCTGAACTGCTAAAGGTGTAGAATCTCATTGCTATTTGGTTTTATCAAAATCTAGTTCTAGTCTGAAGGGGTTGCGGAAAGCAGGGGAAAAACTGGACCAAGTGCAAATAATAAAATGCAACTATATAATCATGTTTAATTAGGATTTATAACAACAACAATATCATCTTGAAAATCATTTTACTTTTATTATTTCTTAGAAATTTCTTATTTCTTTTAAAATATTGCATATTAACATTTTGTAAAGAAAAAAATGTTCACCAAATTAAAGTCATGTGGTGCAACCAATAAAATCCATGTGATTTTAACTTAGATTTAAAAAGGTTTGAACACTCTTATTAGCCACAGATATTTCACTAAGCTAAATGCAAATAATAAAACACACACACACACACACACACACAGTTAAGGCAGTGATTAACATTTTAGTGGTCCTTTCTTAAATGGCTGTATAGCATTTACTTTATGGCTCTACTGCAAAATTCTTAGATTAAAACAATCGTACATAGCCTCTTCCATCTTATGCGGGGTCTAAGGGCCAAAGTCTAGCTGCTTTTCTCTTTCTTTTTTACCCCTGCAGGCCCATATTCTGAGATTTATGCAGCAGAATATGGACTGATAACCCTTCATCTGTTCACCGTGTGAATTATTCTCTGCTCTCACTATCTGTCTCACCCTACACAGCCAGGATTCATATGGCTGCATGGCAGAATTTGTTTCCTTCACAGCAACATGGCCAGCAGCTAAGATTGTGTGTGTATGTGTGTGGCCTGCCTGCCTAAATGTGTCAGTTGGTCTCTCTCGACTTTCCATTCTCCCCAGATTGCAGCACAGACTGAGACGTTAACGTATTCATGCCACATTTTCATTCCTCCCTTCAGAAGTGTTGTGAAACATGGTATTAAGACGTTATCTGAAGGAGTTTCATCTCTGCAATGAAACAAAATCAAGAAAATTTATCTTTTGGCTTGTAACGGATTACTTTGTACGTTTTTGCGCTTTGAATGACCTGTCATGAAAAGGAAAATGTCTTCTTTCCGTCTCTTTCTCTCTGGGTTTGGTTATTGTGCTGATTTGGTGGATTAACCCACTGACTCTATTATCCCTTAGCAGACAGGAAGGAAATTAAAGGGGTGGTTGACTGTTTTTTTTCTAGGCTTGATTGTGTTTATGGGATGCAGTTTAACATGTGTTAATGCTCGTTTTAAAAAGAAAACACATTATTTTTCACATAATTTACCTTTATTCTACACCGCTCTGTCCCTTCTCCCATAAACGCGCTGATCATTTCCTGCTTTTATGAAGCCCCTCCCTCAGAAATATGTGATGGGCTCAGATTGGTTAGCTGGCCCAGTGTGTTGTGATTGGCTAAACCGCCTCTAGTGCGCAGTCTAAACGCCCTGCCCCTCAGCTCAGCGGCATGTGCTCTGGTTGTATTGTAAACAATGGCATCATCTATATTGCTTATCAGTTTGAGCCCGCAGAGGATAATAGTGAAGTGGATCGTGCAGAACCTGTGTATACTTGTGCAAAAGTATTGTTGTCTCATACTTTTAGATACGCTGTTTTTTGTAAATGCCACTGCTTCTGTTAGCTTTTAATATACAGTTTTATTTAAAGCTGATTAAAGGTTTAATACTGTAGCGAATTTCGTGCAGAACCTGTGTATACTTGTGCAAAAGTATTGTTGTCTCATACTTTTAGATACGCTGTTTTTTGTAAATGCCACTGCTTCTGTTAGCTTTTAATATACAGTTTTATTTAAAGCTGATTAAAGGTTTAATACAGTACGGCAACTGCACGCGCGTCCATGTATAACGCTTCTCATAGCTACGTGAAAATAAGTGTATAAATGGAACAGTTAATTGTTGGAGCTGAATGAGAGAGAGAGAGATGCAGAACGTGTGCAGAGCAGGGCGACGCGAGGAACAGTATTGAGAACCGCTGCTTTAGAACATTGATTTTGAAACTTGTGAATCCATTAGAATCGTTAGAAGACAGAATCACGATTCATATATGAATAGATTTTTACGTGCACCCCTAGTTTTCTCTTCCTCTTCTCTAAAGCAGCGCAGCATGGCCACGCCCCTTTCATTGCATGTTCCCGGGGGCGGGGTTTGTCTGGGTTTGTGATGTCACAAACCCAGGAAGTAACTCGTTGTAGTCCCTACGAGCCATTTTTGTAGGCATTAAACTGCCAGAATTTTAAAAGGCGATATCTCCGTTTGCATTGAAGTTTCAGCGCCGCAACTTTGCAGATATTGTTTATGCTCAAACAGCAACATTACACACTAACTAACCTTAAAAAAGTGAAATCGCAATCAACCACCCCTTTAAAACAGAATCATGTCTTTTCTAAATTTTCAACTTCATCTGACCCCAGATCAGTAGCGCTGCACTCGGACTGTGAACTGAGTACAGCAGAGCATAAGAAACCTTTCCTTTTCCCTAGTGTCCACCCAAAGCCTTAATCTGAAACCTAACATCAAAGACACACAAGGACTCATGTCCTCCCTCAATAAGAAAGCAAACTCAAAAGAAAACCCCTCTGTTTTGACTTCACATACTTCAACAGCTCTAGCTACTGGATTAACATTCATTTATACTTAATGTAATCTGATTATTATATACTTATAATGGTTCATCTTTCCCCCATGCGACATAATAGTTTTTTCACGTTTCGGTTCCACGTGAGTCACGCTGCATTTGTTTAATTTGGGATGACAAATTCCAAGTTACTTTTTAATTACACGTATGAATCGCTGTGTTATTAAAAAAAAAATTAGTTCCTAGATTAAGGGTAGGCTATAATGAGCATTATTAGCCGGTTTCATTACTGAAATCCAATCTCGCTTTGGCCAGTGGGGGAAAAAAAACCTTCCAGCAGAGAATAACGCACTCAGTCTGAAAGCAGTTTGATGTCTCTGCTGCAATCTTTCTGCATCTAGTCTACACATAATGCCTTTGGAATGTCAAGCTCTTTTTGAACATAAATGAGCATTTAGACAAACCATCAGCCCCAAACAGAGCAGTTTCACTTGTTAACTTGCATCTAAATGGCTGTTTGGCTCCATTATGGACTCTGGTATAAGGCAGGCTGTTAGTTGATGAATTTGGGTTTAATTCAGTGCAGGGGACGGTGCACAGGCTTGCGGGAGCCGTTTGCTTTTCCAGCGCTGACATTCATCTCCCTCCTCCTACCTCCGCTCTTCTCCACCTCCTCGCCGCATACTGACATCCGTCTCCTTTATGTACGAGGCATCTGACATTTCTAATGTCATGAATAATCTTGACAAACAATCTTTTTCGATGCATGGAAATAACCGGCTGAACCAAATGGGAGGGCTTGCTGTTTCTTCAACTGTGGCGTATTAGTTAAAGCTGAGACGGCTACGATGATAATAACGTCACTAAATGGTTCAACTTTACAGGGATGAATGATTATGCCCGTGCTTTCCGCCCCCGCTCGCACCCATCTGAAGGAACGTGGCGTACTGCTGTTTGGGTTTCATTACGCAGTTTTAATTTTGCTTGGCTCATTCCTTAAACTTACAGAGGAACAAACAAAGACAAGTAATTAAAGCTAACAGGGCGGATCTAGTCACTATTCAGCTCAACTTTAATACACTGAAGAGTAAATAATTAGAGCATGATATTAAAAATGGAAAGATAAAAGTGTCTGTCATGCTCAGAGATGTGTTTAAAGAAAGATAGAATGGAGGAGGGGTACAGGTAAGCTCGACGAGGCTGTGAAACTATTAGCTGATAAGATTTAATTGTTTTCTAGGCTTTCTGTCTATGGCTAAATATAGCCATTTTTGTAAGAGTAATTTTCTTCAGAACATTGTACTTGACATTGAAGGGGAAAAAACAAGTAAACATAGCCTACTGCATAATTCTCTTTTATAAGGAGGGGGTGGGGGTCTATCAAATCAGTCATGTGGTGCAACCAACATGCAGAAAAATTATGTCAAAGAGAAACCCCTCGTCTCTTAAAATATCAGATAATTTGAGCTTTTTATGAAAAGGCAAGGCAAATTTTGGACCTGAACTTCAGGTTGTCATGGTATGACTCCCCAAAACTGTAGACCTAATGACATTTCTAAAGCATACTGTATATTGGGTAATTGTGTTTTGTAAGGAAAGTTTGTCTACTATAACTCTACTAAACTCTCTTGCATGGCCCAAATCCTTGCTGAAGGTGATCCATACAAATTTAATGGCAGCTGTATCCTGTAATGACTGCATGGTCGACCATCTGTACGATTCATTTCAGACTTTCATATTGGACTGGTGAGGTTGGGGTCTCTTGATGGAATTTGAGATGACTGTGAAGGCTTCAGTAAACAACCATTCTTGAACCCAAACACCTCTGACCCTCTGTCACTGATGTTAGGCTCTCCAGACAGGGGTCAAGAGCTACAGACACACTTGAACTTTAACAGAGAACTCTCAACATACCATAGGAGGGTGGAAAGTTTCTCTGAGAAATAGCTGAAAGTGAAACAGCAGCAATACAGGGATTTGTGAAACTTAAGACTTTAAAATATTTTCATGCAAGAAAAGAAATGTAGATGCTTATTTGACTGTCCATGTGTCGGTGCAGCAATCACCTTGGAAAACTCTACGTATGCACTTACCATACTTTTCTACATGGGTAAATTAGTACATGTTAAGTTTGTTGAGACCATGCTGCGATTGAAATGGGTTTGAACTATATTAGCTATACAGTTTCTTAATCTGTCAGATGTCTCACTTCCCTGATTGCTTTTTAATGCTGGTTTCTTATTCAAGAATTCATTACACCATGTTTTTGATAGAGGCTTTTGATCCAAAAATAATGGATATGGATAAATGAAGTTGACACAGCATCATGTTTCGTTAAGAATTGACATTCACATTGAAGAGTCTTTTTGATCATATCTAATAATTAAATAATTTGGGGCAGTCATGGCCTAATGGTTAGCGAGTCGGACTTGTAACCAGAAGGTTCTGGGTTCAAGTCTCAGGTCCGGCAGGAATTGTCGGTGGGGGGAGTGAATAACCAGCGCTCTCTTCCACCCTCAATACCATGACTGAGGTGAGACCCTTGAGCAAGGCACCGAACCCCCAACTGCTCCCCGGGCACTGCAGCAATATGGCTGCCCACTGCTCTGGGTGTGTGTGTGTGTGTGTGCACTTGGATGGGTTAAATGCAGAGCACAAATTCCGAGTATGGGTCGCCACACGTCACTTCACTTAAAAAAATACATTAAAAATGCAGTTCATACAAACAATGCCTTGAATACATACAGGTGCATCTCAATAAATTAGAATGTCGTGGAAAAGTTCAGTAATTCAGCTCAAATTGTGAAACTCGTGTATTAAATAAATTAAATGCACACAGACTGAAGTAGTTTAAGTCTTTGGTTCTTTTAATTGTGATGATTTTGGCTCACATTTAACAAAACCCCACCAAATCACTCTCAACAAATTCATAAGACCAATAAAAAAAAACATTTTTAGTGAATTGTTGGCCTTCTGGAAAGTATGTTAATTTACTGTACATGTACTCAATACTTGGTAGGGGCTCCTTTTGCTTTAATTACTGCCTCAATTTGGCGTGGCATGGAGGTGATCAGTTTGTGGCACTGCTGAGGTGGTATGGAAGCCCAGGTTTCTTTGACAGTGGCCTTCAGCTCATCTGCATTTTTTGGTCTCTTGTTTCTCATTTTCCTCTTGACAATACCCCATAGATTCTCTATGGG